CCGTATGTTGGGGCTTTGCCAACAGGATCGGGACAGTGCCAACCGTGCCATTAAGTGAGCTGTCCTGCTATGATTTCTGCTGCGGCATTGTCGCATCGAGCAGCCTGGCCACTTGTTGGGGTGGCATTCTTAATCCGGCGTCAGCGCTCACAGTGCCGACAGTTCCTCTGACAGGCATCAGTGTCTATTCTGACCACGCATGTGCCTTAAATGCTCAGAACAGACCCGTCTGCTGGGGCGAAAATGATGCTGGAGAGCTTGATGCTCCTGACATTTCTTTGAGCTCAGTGTCGGCAGGAGGCACCTCCAGCTGCGGCCTCCGAACAGCAGACGGGAAGCCGCAGTGCTGGGGAGATTTGAGGGGTCAATCGCCACCCGATGAGGCACTTTCGGCTATCTCCTGGGGGCAAAATGCCTGTGGCTTGCGACAGGCTAATCAAACATTGACATGCTGGGGTACCGTGAATGGGGCAGGTGAGCTTAGCGTTTTCGCTCAAGTCATGCCACCAGCAGATGTTGCCTTCACGCACCTTTCAGTTGGCGTTGAGAAAGTTTGTGGGATTACACCTGCAGACAGCCACATCCAATGCTTCGGAAACAAGGCTTCGGATCTGGGCTTGCCCCCAAACGATGAAGCCTATACTGAGGTGTCAGTAGGCAATAGCCACGCATGTGCCCTCACGCTCAGTGGGGTCCCAGTTTGCTGGGGCAGCAACACTTTCGGTGAGCGCTCCGTGCCCTCCGCCTTCAACGCCTAGTTGAAGCGGCAAGTTCTGACGCCGTGTGCCAAAAAGGCATTGAGGTCATCGAGATCTTTCACGGCCAGCTCTCTAACTGAGAGTTTTTTTGCTGTTGTTTCCGACCGATGTGCGTGTACAGCTGCATATATCAGGGTCTCTAGCTGTGGCAAACAGCCAAGCTGCACAAACGCAAAACGGGAAGGGAGAGTTTAAGTATTCTTCATAGAGAACTATTGGACGGAGCTCTTCCAGAGCTTTCGATGTTGCCGGCAGCTCATCAGGTGCATGGGTGGATGATAGGCCTGGGGTATTGTAATCCCTGTAATGCATAATCCCAAAGGCTAGCCTTTAGTTCCCGTAGGATACTGGACAAACAAGTCACAAGTTTCTGTGCTTTCACTGCTGTAGGGGTATAGTCATACAATGACATGAAACCATAAAGCCGCAGCCCTCAGCCCCAACAGGCTTATCCCTGAACCCCTGTCTGTGAACCCTAATATATTTTCCAAACACTACTTCCTGAACCAATCCCCAGATAAGATTTTCACGAAGTCATTTTGCCCAATCTCCAAACTTGAAATGTTGGCACGGAACTGGAAGGCGCATTGGGACTGGCGTCGGTGTGGCAGTGCGAGGGCCGCGACGTTTCATCAGGCGGGCGCAGACGGGGCGACATGACCGGGCAGCGCAGGACAATTGGGATACGCGTTGGCGGTTGTAGCTCCAGCCCTAGTTTAGAGAACTAGCCATGTAGTTTCTTTTGGCCACAGCCCCGCCAGTCTCATCGCTAAACTTTCCAGAGCTTGTTAGACCATATGCCATAAACTTTGCACAATCAACATGCAGATCCAAAGAAGAAACCTATGAGTCCACCGGCAATGCGCTGAAGTTGCGAGTTTTTGTCCCGTGAGTTTCGGGCTCAAAGGCTGTGAGTTTAAATGTTTTTCGAGGGGGCACAGTGTTCACTGTTTAGGTTGTAGGGTTCGTGTTGGGTTTCATGGTTTTGGATTCTGAGGGTTTCGGGCTATCGGGTGTAGGTGGCTGAGGGTGTCCATGGGAAATCGGCTTCAGGCTTCGGTGATTCAGGGCAGTAGTGTGGGCAGGGTTCAAGCATGGTAGAGTTAGATCCCCCATACCGGTTTAGGGTTTAGGGTTTAGGGATCCATCTATCTATATTTACAGATACACAGCCTTAGAACCTGAACCGTTTAATCACCCCTATCAGTCGAGCAAGTCATCTTTGAGCTTGGCTCGGCTGGTTTTGAACTTTTTGGTGAGATCCTTTCCTGGCTGTTTCGTTTTAAGGTTGAGGGTTCTCTTGGCTCGGCTTGTTTTGAACTTTTTTGGGGAGTCCTTTCCTGGCTGTTTCGTTTTAAGGTTTAGGTATCTCGTGTTATGATCCAGTGTTAGAACAAGAAAATGCCCAAAACCTAACCTTTCGGTGGGATTGAACAGGAGTTGGGAGTCACGTAAGTCATCTTTGGATTTATTTTGGGAGGGTACTGTTGATGGACAAAATCCTGCATTACCCCTTATAAGGAATATACCATAGTTCCCATAGTTTAGGGTCCTTAGGGTCATGCAGGATTTTGTCCATCAGCAGTAGTATGTTGTCCTGGCCTGCAGGACAGAGCTGCACTGGAATATGGTTGAAGAGCTGCGTTGCCTCTGCATGCCGCCATGGTCAGAAAAAGCGCCGGAGCTTGCGTCTCTGAGTCCTAAGGCTAGGGTCCGAATCACATGACCTGCTGAGGACGTCGGCCTGACGTTACAGGAACTTGTCAGGAAGAACTCTTTAGCTACTTTAAATCCAGTCCGCCCTACGACCCCTGCGGCTGGACTCCGAACCTTACGCCCAAACGCTAACCACAATCCGTAGATCTTCTAAACCTTAAACCCTACACCCGACTATTTCAATAAGTTCGCTCGGAGCACGCGTTTGGACCGGGTTTGCATCGGCACAACGCTGATCTTCACGTGGTCGTCGTGTAGGGTTTAGGGTTTGAGGGGTTTGGGGTTTTAGGGTTTGGGGTTGGGATCCAGAGTTTTGAATTTAAGAGGTGCAATATGTTTGAGGGTAAATTCAAGGGTTTTAGTGGTTCAATGTTTAGGCCTGTTTAGGGCCTAGGGGCCTAGGTCTAAAGTTTGGGCTTAGCAAATCGCCTTTAGATCTTCCACCTAGACGACACCCTGAGAACCAATGCAAAAGGGTTCTAGGGTTTAGGTTCTAGGGTTTAGGGTTTAGGGTTTAGGTTCTTGGGTTTAGGGTTTAGGGTTTAGGTTCTAGGGTTTAGGGTTTAGGGTTTAGGGTTTATGGCTTGATTAGTAGACCGTTTGGGCCTGGAAGAGAGTCGAAGTCTTAGACAAGGTATAGTTCATAAGGTTGAGAGGGTCCAATCAAGGATCCGTAAGTTTAGGGCTTGGCTACAACAACGCAAAGGCGGAGGGTTTGCGTTCACACACGAGGTCGAGGTCCCTAAAGGTCTTCGGGTGTGAAGGCTTCAAGGCTCGGACGATTTGGGAACCATGCAACCTCGGGTTCAGGGTTTTAGGAATTATAGGGTTTAGGGTGCAAAGTTTTCAAGCACAAATCCAAACCTTCGCTCGTCTTCGATTGCAGCCTTGAGCCTTCAATCCTAAAGTAACTAGAAGCAACAGCCCAACATGCGATGATCTGCCCCATGGCGACAGCAGATTGAAGCCGGACAGGACAGCTTTGAACAACAATCGAACACGGTGAATCCTTTCATTAAACCCTAAACCCCTCAACCCTAAACCGCGAATCCTGTCATCCCTTAGCCTCAGAAGCTTGTGGGCCCCACAGCTCAGGGCCACCTCATCTAACAAACACGCCGAAGACTTGGCCAGAAGCCGGTGGGCCCTTCTGCCAAACAGCCTTGTACTTCTCTTAAGTATAACTTAACCCCAAATGCTGTTTTGGGGTTTCGGGTTTAGGGGCTCTGTTTCGGGAATGCTTCCCCCGCGCCGGTGACTCCGCCCCGGGCAGCTTCTGTGCATGCAACCCTGCCTGATTCAGTGCATTCTTGGGCTTTAAGATTTATGAATGAAGCCTGAAAGTTGGAAACCCAATAGCCTCAATCCTTAACAGTAATGTCTAGGGAATCCCAGCACTATTTGGCCTTACTCAGGTTTCCAACTTTATGGGGTTTACTGTAGGGTTCAGGACCAGTTGGTGGATTTCGAGGTTTGGATTTCGGGCTGGGGTGTAGAAATTAAATAGTGCATATAGGGTGTTTCTCCAACCAATGTGGCACACGCTATGGGATTCAATCGTTGTAGACCTACAGAGGTTAGGTTTGTGTTCAGGCCTGCGCGACGTATATATAGCGTTCAAAGGGATGCCTGAGGAATCAAGAAACCCTCATCAACCTATGTATTTAGCAGTCAGAAAAGAGACGCAAAATTGCCCATAATTTCTACACCAAGCCCGTACAGATCCCTGTAGAAAAACAACTCGTGACCTCAAAGGATCCAGCACGCGGGCAGTGAGAGGTTATCCCTTTTATTTTGGTGAAGTCGAGGGAATGGTGTAGAGTTCTTCTGGGTTGTAATTCAGAGATGTTTAGAGTCTACAGTGAGGGTTTGAAAGGGTGCAGGCTAATTATAGGAATGGGGTCCACGGTTCCGGATTTCGTGTTCGGGGGTTGGAGGTTTTCGACTGTACGCAGATCTGCAGACTACCGTGTAACGTTCCGTCACACTTGCAGTACCAAAGACAAGTAGCTTCGTGTCGGGCCTCATGGCAGTGTACCGCCTGCGGTCGTCCCATCTTCTAGTGGACTATAACATTTGTAAATACCCAAAACCCTAGGCAAATTATGCATGTCGTTCTGGTTAGCAGACCCTGACCCTTGAATCCCTGTTACAAGCTTTTGTAGCGCCCTTGAACGAGCCCTTACAAGAACGCTATTCATCCTGGGTTCTTAGTTTTAAGTTACCATAATAAGGACACCATAGCATTGACTCAAGATCCCTATTATGGTAACTTTAACTAAGTCGGTTTAGGGTTTAGGTGCTTCGGGTTCGGGGGGGTTAGGGTTTAGGGTTTAAGTTCCTTCACAAGAACCCTCCAAGGGTAAAAGGAGGGACCCTTAACAAGGACCCCTAGGTATATACCCTTAATATAGCTATTATATACCCATTATATGGCCCATTACAGGGTAGGGATCCCCATCAAGGGTCCCTCCTTTTCCCCTTTAAAACCCTATTCATCAGGCATCCAAAGCTGCGGACCCTGCTATGGGCCAGGCCGAGTACCGGGCAGTGCTTTGCAAAGACGGTTTAGGGTTTAGGGTTTAGGGTGCAGGGTTTAGGGTTTAGGGTGCAGGGTTTAGGGTTTAGGAAGCGCATCGGGGTTTCGTAGCTTCCTTTTCAAGGTTCGGGGGTGTACCTTGGGATGCGAAACCCTACCGTTTTAAGGGTTCCACCCTCTAATTAAGGGATCATGGTCTGGGGATACCGGCAGGGTTTAGGGTTCGCTTGGGTTCAGAATATTTGGACTTGTAGGGATGGGGGTTGGTATAGTAGACGCGCTTGTAACTACGGTGGATGATAGATATCCTGAATTTCCTTAAGGACCTTGGACTATGGGAATTATGGTATATTCCTGATGATGGGTAATGCAGGTTTTATATCATCAACAGTATTAAGGCTATTAAGGCATCCCAAACCCCACGGAATCCGGACTTTGCGGAGTTCGGGTTTGAGATAAACTGTCGGATAGCCTTGCTGAATTGCCCTGTTGAGTTAGGGTTTAGGGTATAGGGGTTTAGGGCTTTGGGGTTTACTAGAACCACCCATTGCAGGATTGCACATGCCATGCCAGACATCTGCCAGGAATGCTCTACAGACAGCTGTGCCGTCCGCCGAAGCTACGCGGCTACATGTTGGCGCTTGCAGTTGTGTCTTTCTGAGGGAGTTAGCGTGACTGATTAGATGGTCTTGTTGCTTATGATCGCACTACACATTGACAAGTTATGACCCTAGGAACTGACTTTGTCATAGCTATTAGCACACGGGAAAGCTACGAATCCTCGTCCTCGCAGGACGACATATCTGTACATATATGGGTGGTTGTCAAAAAAGGTCTTTTTTTTGGGATCCCTATATATTTAAGGAACCCAAAAGGAGACGCTACATCATTTTGACAACTACTCCTATATGTCAAACAGACGTCTGGCTGCGAGCCGCCGTTAGGGGCCAAAAAGCACATAAGCATAAGCATTTTATAGGGATATCCCCACCTTAATGGGCTTCATTATAAGGGGATTTATATGGGATATCCTTACCCTAACTGTTGCTTATGTGCTTGTTTTGGGGGCCCTAGTCAGGGCTGAAGTTTCTTGGGTCAGAGTCCGGACGAAGTCCCTGGGGCTTCGCGCTTTGAGTCACGAAACCAATGTATTCGGTCTAGGGTTCAGGGGTTTAGGGTATAGGGTATATTTAGGGTTTAGGGGTTTAGGGGTTAGGGGTTTAGGGGTTTAGGGGTTAGGGGTTTAGGGGCTTAGGGTATAGGGTCCCAAAACCTATTCTAGTCAATGCATTATGGCCTTGAGATGTTGGGCATTTTGAGACCTCGTCAGGTCAGGCCGGCCCATGCAACTTGGCGAATCAGGCGCAGCCAGGCACCGAAGCCCAAGGGTCAAAAGGAGGGACCCGCAATAAGGACCCCTTCGTATATATCCTTAATATAGCTATTTTACACCCATTATATAGCCCACTTTCGGGTAGGGATCCCCAGTAAGGGTCCCTCCTTTTCCCCTTTGAAACTAGGCTGGAAGGAAGGGAGCGAAGGAGGACAGAAAGCATGGTTTCGTAGGTTATTGGTTAGGAGCTGCCCCCACCCTGAAATAGTGGTATAATAGGAATGTAATAGGGCCCTAACATAATCCTTATAGTCACTATTACAGGGTGGGGGCAGCTTCTAAGTTATTGGTACATAGATCCTGAGCCACTAAACTCTAAACCCCAAAAAGCCTTAAAGTCCAAATGTTCTAAAACCCTGGACCCCGAAACCCTACAGTATCAATTTTTGGGATCCAGGGGCAGGGGTGGTGTAGAGATATAGCCTAAAGTAAGGAATATTCTTCAAATCATTCTGGGGATCCTACTATAGTTTGAGGTATAGCTTAAGGTATATATCTTTTGATTAGTGATTATGGCTCTTGGAAGATCTGTTGTTCTAAGGATTCAGGGTTTAGGGTTTAAGTTTATAGAGAACCCCAGAAAGTTGGAACATTGATTTAGGATGAATCTTGCTGGGATTCCCTATACTTTGCTTTAAGGGCACTGGGATCTTGATGTTTCAACTTTCTGGTTTCTACTGTAGGGCTCAGGGGTCTCCAATATCCCTTGATTAGAAATAAGCCTTAATTTTAAGATTAAAGTAGGATCCCTAATATGCTTTAAGCTACAGTCCTTAATTCCAACTTTCTGGTGTCTACTGTAGGGCAGTGCTGGCGTCGTAGAACCTCGCGACTTTCGGATCCGGACGTGTCAGATCTTAGGTTCAGGGAGCTGGGTGATGTCGCGGTTTAGGGTTTTAGGGCTTAGGGTTTAGGGGTTTAGGGTTTAGAGTTTAGGGGTTAGGGTTTAGGGTTTAGGGTTTAGGGTTCAGGGGTTTAGGGGTTTAGGGTTTTAGGGTTTAGGGGTTTAGGGGTTTAGGGTTTCCTACAGGTATAGGTTTAGGGCTTAGGGTCTCCAGGGGATCCATAAAACATCCCCCTAAGGGTCCAAGTATCCAATTATCATATACTCTCCAAAATCTTAACCGACATATCTACTATCCTAACACCGAGTACCTAATTATTGGATTTGTTGGACCCTTGGGGTCCTATCCATCCTTAAACCCTAATCCATAAAACCCTAAACCCTATCCGATGACAGGTGCGGCAGCCGCACCTGCCCAGAAGATAGATGGCTACGCGCTCACGGCCGGTTTTTTGGTCGTGAAAGGTTCATGCTTGGCATAAGGGAGCCTGGGTGTTTCGGGTTTAGGGTCCAGGGTTTAGGGTTTAGGGGACTAGATAACGACACCATCAGGGATCCCTCGTTTTTTGTCCCAACACCTTGTTCTAGTTAGAGAGGCCCCTAAAGTATGTTGGGGGTCTTGGTTGTGCTTCACCCTGCATCCCAAACCCTACTCAGCGGATCCCAACACTGTTGGGAACCCAAAAGACATGATTTTCTGAGAGCCTGACTGACTAAGACGCCCAAGGGCTCTCCCCATCCGAAACCCGACATGAAGGTTCCAACAATCCGCAGAGGAACATCCAAGAACATCCCTAAACCCAAAACCCTGAACCGCCTTTTGTAGAAGCCAGAAAGTTGGAACATCATCGTCCTCAGACCCTTAAGGTAAAGTATAGGGGATCCTAGCACTAATCCTCCTAAAGCCATGTTCCAACTTTCTGGCTTCTACTATAACCCCGAATCATGGGTGCAACCTGGAAACCAAAGAAACTGAACCTGAGTACCCCCCTAAGGGTCCTAACACTTCAGGGAAACCTCAAAGTGTAGGATGCCCAGTAGTACCCTTATTCCCTTCTTGTAGTCCTAGGTTCCTTATAAAGTTACCCAATACCAAAAAGAGAGGCCTTTTTATTCTTAGGTTACTGGGTATCCTAGTATATTCTGGTACCCTTATAGATCCCTTATAGTAGCCTTTTTAAAGGACCCCTTTAAAGGAACCCTGGTAGTCTTTTTATTCTTAGGTTACTGGGTATCCTAGTATATTCTGGTACCCTTATAGATCCCTTATAGTAGCCTTTTTAAAGGACCCCTTTAAAGGAACCCTGGTAGTCTTTTTATTCTTAGGTTACTGGGTATCCTCAAAATGTAGGAGCTCGGAGACTCCAAAAGAGACCCAAGGACTCTCCCTAGGAGATTCCGGACCCTCCTAAGGAGATACCTGGACCCTTAGGGTAAAGCCTAGAATCCCCTAAAACCCAAAACCCCAAACCCTAAACCCTAAACCCTAAAACCCTAAACCCAAAGCCCTAAACCCCCCTAAAACCCTAAGCTCTAGGGTTGACTCATAGCCTCAGGTGAACTTTCAAGGCGAAACCAAGCTGAAAACCGCGCCTTTGATTTGCAGCGTCAGCCCTCAACCTCTGACCGGTAATCCTGTAAAACCCTATCCTTAATCCACCCCAAACCCTAAACCCCAACCCTAAACCCTGAACCTTAAGTTTCAAACTGCCGCCTTACATAAAGCGTTGAAAGCCGCCATAAAGCTCACACCCAGTGCCCCAAGTCCGCCTCCCACGGAACAGCACACCTAGAGACCCAAATGCCTGAAGCCTTCAATCGCGGTTCAGGGTTCAGGGCCTCTAGGAATTGAACCAAAAAGTAAACAAACGCCTCTGACACAGCCGTTGCCAGGGCCTTGCGCAGCCCAGACCCAGCACTGTTCTGCTCAGTCACACGTCCGGACCCCCAGAAGAGGCTGTAATATAGGCTACTATTTGCTTAAGAAACCCCCAAAAAATAAAAACAATAATCGCTACATTACCCCCATAAGGAATATATTTTTTATTTTTTGGGGGCTCTTAAGCAAATAGTAGTAGGGGTCTGACTGTTTCGTAGCAATATAAAGTATATTTCTACAATCCGGACGTATGTGTTTATAACATAGAGCATGGAACATACTCCCCAAACCATGGTAATGGTCTAACGGTTCAGGCCCGCAAGCCCTAATCCCGAGATCTTACGGGTACTAGGGTTTACCCAGAGTCTGGAAAAGTTCTCCCCTCAGCTTTATGCCCGATTCCTTACTCATCAGTACTTCGTGTATAGGGCTTAAGGGCATTACAGCACACCTACAGCTGCCGTCGGCTATGCATTTTTTTGTGTAGGATGATGTAGTAACTCCACCAAAAACGGGAGCTACCATGGAGACTTTGGGAAAAAACCTGAATCGCTACCCGAAGGCTCCTCACTTTCGCACAGAGGATTTCGAGAACGCCAAGCGCCCGAAGTGTTCCTTAATCCTGAATAACCTACCCTTTTTCTCTTTAGGGCCATTCTGACTTCCTTTAATATTTCCTTCAAAAAGTAGGGTATTCGGGACTAAGGTTCTCCTCAAGCAACTCTGGGCCCTGCCTGGGAGATACCTAGGACCCTCAGGGTAAGCCTTGCGAAAGTCAAAGTGACTTTGGGTGTTTCTCGCCCAAAGGGTCCGAGGTACCATTATGGCGGGGTTACTTCCTCAATCATACTAGCAATGACCATTATAGACCTGGTAGTAGAGTAGGTAACCTTTAAAAGGCAGCGGTCTATGCCGGAGTTTTCCATGGAGTCTGACAGGAACGCGTTTGCGAATCTGTGTCACGCATTTTGCAACGGCCCACCCAGCCCACGAAATGGAAGATGCTGGTATTTTGAGTGCTGTATTTCGAGGTCTCTTGGCAGGTTCATTGATGATGAGCCTCTCAAAGTACAGGGTTGAGTAGGGTTTCCTCTAGGTGCTCGGATGCAGACCATAGAGATGCACCAGTAGCTTGAGCATCCAAGGATTGATAGAAAACAGGTCAAACAAGCGCAGGTGTTCCAGAACCCGCGGTTCAGGCAGACGATCCAACAGTTAATAGCAGCGATCTCTTCTCATCACTGGATAGTGAATCCGAGACCGCTCTATTTAAGTGTATGGGAACAGCCTGGCACAAGAATCCCGCACCATCAATCCTCAATACCTGAAACCCGAAAGCTCTAAACGCTAAACGCCCAACCCCTCTTTTCAACCTCTGCAAACCTCTGTGATTTGCCGAAATCCCATGTGGGAGTTTCCTTGAAAATGGGGGACCCAAATATAGTACCGTAAATAATAGGATCCTTATTCTAAGAACCCCAAAATAAGGTTCCCCCCCAATTTTCGGAAACTCCCATGTAGATCCTTTCCAGCTGTTTGGGCGAACTAGCAGCCCGATTGCAGCAACTTTCTCAAACTTTAATTGTTATATAAAGCTAAACCCAAGACTCTAAACCAGGTATTTCACAACAGCTTTAATCGACACATACCCTAAGGGTCTAAGTGCCGTTTTGGGTGCGAAAATGCTGTTCAAAGTGTAGTAGCAAGGGTTAAAGTCACTAAAGCCCTGCCATTCTGGCACTTGCACCCTTGCGGACAAGCAAGAACATCTGTGAACGGGTACTTGGAGGGTCGGGGGACTTACTAAGTAGTTAGCTTCTAGAGTTATAAGTACCATACCCCAATTAGGGTCTCTTTTCGGGTACTGATAACTCTACTTATTATCTACTTACTAAGTCCCGCGACCCTCCAAGTACCCTAAACCCTAAGCCCTCCAAGCCTTCAACAGCCCTTGGCCTAGTCGTAGGGTGGGCAATCGTTAACCTTTTTTGGGGTATTGTAGTCCCTAGATAGTCCCTATATAACCAAAAAGTTTAATCTTCAGTTCCCCATGATACCCGACAAGTACTGTTGATGGATAAAATCTTGCATGACCTTAAGGACCCTAAACTATGGGAACTATGTTCTATTCCTTATAATGGGTAATGCAGGATTTTGTCCATCAGCAATATGTTGGAGTACGTTCAGGTACTTCGAGCAGGACCTCGATGAGCTCCGTGCCCTCCCAGCAGGACATGGAAGTAATGTGGGGGCCAAAAGAAGTATATATATATATATATATTCATATATATATATACATACATACATACATACATACATATACACATACATGTTTTTTTTTTTGGGGGGGGGGTCCTTATCATAATGATGGCATACTGGGCCCCAAAACCCTATTCTAATTATTAAGGCCCCTATATTAGGCCCTGCAGCCCAAGTAGTGCTGGTGTCTGGACGGTGAGTCCTACACTTGTTTGCCATACTGTACTATGTTATACCATACTTTCCTTGCCGTACTATACCAGACCATACTCTTTTATTTTTTGCCATGTTATACTTGAATATACGCCATTCTATGCCATACTCGGCTATAGTATATTATGCCGTACTATATTACATCGTATCATGTCATACTTCATTACCCGTATGTTACGAACCTCTACCGTATCATATTATGATACACTATACTACGCTGCATGTTATGCTATGTTATGCTACAGCATGTTGTAACATACTGTACTCTACGATACTATACTGAACTCCGCTCTAGTATGCTATCTTACACAATACAATACTCTTCTATACGACACTACACTATGCTATACTACACTGTACAATACTATACTCTACTATACTGTAATGTACAATACAATACACTACTACACCATACCATACTGTACTGTACTATACTATACTGTGATATACTATGCCCTACTATACGAGACAATACAATACTGTATCATGCGATAGTACACAACACTATACTTTACGTTAGTTTTTACAGAACACTATTCTGGGTTCAGAGCTTCGGTTCCTCACGGTCTCCGGTGGCCAGGATCGGCGCGGCATGTTCAAGAACGACCTCTGTCCCTCGGACCTGTCGGACGAAAGCTTTCTGAAACCTGAGATGTCCACCAGATTTGTCTTAATGTAGGAATCTGATTAAGAAACCCTGGGCCCATACCCACAATATAGTAAGATTCATATAAGGAACCCTAATGAAGGCCCAAGGTTTCTCAATCAGGTTCCTACATGAGTTTAGGAGGCTTAAGGCTTCGGTCAAATGCCCTGGTTTAGGTTTACCCTAAGGGTTCAGGTATCTCTTCAGGAGGGATCGGGATGTCCTAGGGAGAGTCCTTGGGTCTCTTTGGGGTCTCAGAAACCCTCAATTTTGAGGTTCCCCAATTTGTTGGGAACCTTCGGGTAGGTCGCCAAAGACCATCCTTATTATGGTTGCGGGGGCTTGTTTCCATGATTGTATTGTATATGGACCCTCCGAGTAAACCCTCTTCTGCGGGGTCCTACATACCTACATGGGTTTAGGGGTTTAGCGTTTAGATGGGTTGAGGATTCAGGGTTAAGGGTGCTAAGTACCTACATTTTACAAAGTAGTTTCTATAAAAGGAGCGACTAGTACGGTTTAAGGACGCGCCCCTCATATCCTAGGTGGTATTAGGGAGACCCCTTTAAGGGGACCCTTCTTAACCCTACTTCTGGCTCTCTTGGACAGGAATCTTTTGAGAGGGTCTATATCCCCACGGGTCCCCCTAATCCTAACTCCTATCATATGGGTGGTTGTCAAAATTAGGATCCCTTTGTGGGTACCCTAAGTATTAGGTGCCGTATTATAATAAGGACCCAAGAAGGGACCTTAATTTTGAGAAGCAGCCATATAATTTTCTAGAAACCTGTTGGTTCTAGAAAGTACGGTTGATGATATAAATCCTGCATTACCCATAATAAGGAACATACCGTAATCCCCATAGTTTCGGGTCCTTAAAGTCATGCAGGATTTATATCATCAACAGTAGCAACAGTTCTTTACAACCTTGCAAAGACCCGTAGCTCCATACGCCAGAGAACGGCTAGACAAGCTTAGGGGATGTTGGGGATTTTAGGGTATCTCCTTAGGAGGGTCCGGAATGTCCTAGGGAGAGTACTTGGGTCTCTTAGGGTCTCAGAAACCTTCAATTCTGAGGTTCGGGTTTAGGGTCAAGTCAAGTGTTGTGGTTGCAGGTTCCGATTCCGCAGCGGCAGCAGCTACACCGGGCAGTGGCTTGGAAATGAGAGGCGCCTTAGGGGCAGCTGTAGAATCTTGAAGAAGTCCATAATCATACCTTTCCTTAGGGTTCCTTTGAAGATCCACGAAAAAACTGGCCCTTCACCTTTTTATGCATGGGGTTTGAACTTCAGAACGCTGCAAGCGGACATTTCGTCCTCGAGTCCAGGTACCCTTGACATTTTTGGCTTCGGGGTCTGCTATGGAGTTAAGGGTTTAGAGTTGAGGTACGGAGTTTAAGCACATCATAAGCAAGTGCTTCAGGGGCTTATTGCTACCACACCCTCCTAAACCCTAAACCCTGAAAGTTCAAGGGGCAACTTGTATTTGGGCCTGTAGGATTCAGACAGGGGTCGGAGGACATACTGAAATCTATATGTACACATGTGTGTAGTCTCTACTCAGATACCTACATATACCACTATGTGTGTGTATGCACATATATGACCATACATATAATTGTTATAATAGGTATATATGATTTATTTATAGATATATATATATATATACATATATATATATATATATATATTCACATATACTTATTTATTATATGCGTTTATCCAAAGTTGGCGAGGCATGGCCTCGGTGTGCAGCAGTGGTTCGACGGAGCGGTGCGTGGCCACAGCTGGGGCTGAAGGGCGTAGGGCTGTAGGATTCCTTTAAGGGATCTAGGGATTTAAGGGTTTAGGGATTTAAGGGTTTAGGGGTTTAGGGGTTTAAGGGTCTAGGGTTCCTTAAAGGGCTCCTTAGGGTAGGACTTTTGGGGGGCTCTTAATAGGTTTTCTTTTTGGGGTTACCTTATAGGATCCTAGTCATATATTTGGTTAGACCAAAAAAAGGAACTACAATGGAGACTACAGGTACATCAAGCCTTGTCCCTACCTTAAGGGTCCTAACACTTCAGGGAACCTCAAAATCTAGGGTTTCTGAGACCCCAAAGAGACCCAAGGGCTGTATTCTGGGAGATTCCGGTCCCTCCTAAGGAGATACCTTGACCCTTAGGGTAGGACCTTTTTGGGGGTTCTTTTTAAGGAACTTAAGCTACCATACTAGGGATCTATAGTAAAGAATGCGGTTTCCTGGGTATGGTAGGTTAAATAATGTCCTGAAGAAGAGCCCAGTTTGTTGGTTGTTCGTTGCATATTCTTGTCGGTTTGGGGTTTACGGCCTTTACGGCCAGAGATCTCTCGGAGTTGAGGGGTTTAGGATGCTTCTTTGTGTGGCCTCCCAGTGCTTTAGGGTTTGGGGTTGAGGGATGTTTACTGGGATGTCATTTACAGTTTTTTTTTAACAGGGCTTCATCGAGGTTCATAGGGTGTTAACCCTAATTATGGCCTCAGGGTTTAGATTTGATAGCCTTGAGGGTCCTAGGCGTCTACGGGCTAGACAGGCTGTACATCGCTGCACCATCGTGTGATACAGTATGTGTACCATCGGACATACGTATTTATGCATGCATGCATGGCGTATACACACGCATATAAACAAAAAATACATAAGGAAATAGATAATTATGCATTTACTTACTTACATACCTTTCCTACCTACATACCTACTTGCTTGCTTGCCTGCTTACTTATGTAGTTCCTTAATTACTTTACTTACGTATTCACGTACCTTGTTATTTCAATTCTAAAATACTTACATACCTACTTACCACCAACCTACATACTTGCACACTTGCATGTCAACATGGCTACATGCTTGCATACTTACATACTTTTGTTCATAGATACATACATACATACATACATACATCCATCCATACATACATACATACATACAGACGTGTATGAATTTACGTATCTATATAGAGAGAGAAGAGAGAGAAACAACACATTGTGTATAATCATAGTTTTGTTAAGGGGTTCTATAGGCTGTGCTTTTTTTTTGTTGTTTGCAAGGTTCCGACCGGTATCAGACATATGGCTCTAAGGAAGTTGCACGTAGAGTGTTAGTATAAGCAACATCTCCAAACTTGGAGTCTACTTGTAACTCTGCTGTCATCGGTAGGCTTTAGGGACCTAATGAAGGGGGACACGGGGGACCCGTAAGGCCTGAACCCTGAGCCCTAAAACCCCAACGCCGTGAATCCAACGCTTCAAACTCCAGGCCCTAATCTCGTTATATAACCCTAATAAGGGTCCAAAGGACCCAATAATTACGTACTTGGGTTTAGGATAGTAGATATGTAGCTCAATATTCAGGAGAGTATATGATTATCAGGTACTTGGACCCTTAGGGTAATCCCACAGGGAGCCTTCTACATCAGTCCTTATACGAAGACCCCGGCCCTGAACCCTAAACCTGAAACCTGAATACTGACCTCGCCAAACCCTAAACACTCCGAACTACCGTTCTGATCATGGCTTTGGGGGGATTTAATTCCATAATAGTAGTGTATATGGACCCTCTTGCTCCATAGCTCTACAGTAGAAGCCCAAAAGTTGGAAACTCAACAGCTTCATTCCTTAGGAGTCATGTATAAGGGATCCCGGCACTGTTTGGCCTTAATCCGGTTTCCAACTTTATGGGGTTTGCTATAAGGCCTTTAACCCCAAAGCCCTGATCCACTTGCAGGTCTACCAGGGAACCTAAATCCTAAACCCTAAACCCTAAACCCCAAATCCCTAAACCCCTAAACCCTAAACCCCTAATCCGCTAAACCCTAAACTGCAGGTCTACCAGGGAACCTGGGAGCACAACTGCGCACACGGCCAGGGCCGAACCTCGGCTGCAAAGGTCATAGGATCCTTAAGGGAGGGTGGTTCAAGGGGGGAGGGTATAAGGAATCCTTAGGGGACTGTAAGGGAACCTTAGGGAGTGCTAGGGAGAATTAGGGATCACTAGGCTATATACCCCCCTTGGACCCCCCATCCCTTAAGGATCCTGTAAGCAAAGGTCTTCATTTCGATGGAATCCTTGAGGTCCAAACAGGCTTCGGGCTTAGGGGTTTAGGGTTTGAGTTTTGGGTTTAGGGTTTGGGTTTTAGGGTTTAGGGTTTGGGTTTTAGGGTTTGGGTTTTAGGGTTTAGGGTTTGGGTTTAGGGTTTAGGGGTTTAGGGTTTGAGTTTTAGGGTTTAGGGTTTAGGGTTTGAGTTTGGGGCCCAGTGTGACACTAGGGTTCAGGAGTTTTAGGATTTACCCCAAGGCTTAGGCTCCTAAGAGGGTCTTTTTTTTTCTGGGTCTTCGGCTTCGGGGTCTGGCCCCGAAGGTCCAGGTTATAGGGCTTCAGGGGTTTAGGGGGCTGTAGGGTTTAGGGTTCAGGGTTTAGGGTTTAGGGTTTAGGGTTTAGGGTTCAGGGTTTAGGGTTTAGGGTTTAGGGTGCTATGGGGGATTAGGTGATTAGGGTTTAGGGGTTAAGGTTTTTGGGATTAGCATTTACCCTAAGGGTCCAGGTATCTCCTTAGGAGGGTCCGGAATGTCCTAGGGAGAGTCGTTGGTCTCTTTGGGGTCTCAAAAACCGTCAATTTTGAGGTTCCCCAATTTAGGGTGGAAACCGTGAGCACGAAACTTCAGACCAAAAACCTTGGCATATGCACTGGTTTAGGATTGGGGTTGAGGAATTGGGGATTTGAGGTTTTCCAGGAATTTTGAGTGTTGGGGCTGTATTCAGGGTAAGGCTTGATGACGCTTCCGTCTCTGGACATGGCGTGCTGGGTTTCGGTATTCATGCTGGGTGCATGCAGGGTTGTACACAGCTCCATACCCTCACAACTGCTGACCTCACCTCTAGACCACCATAGAGTCTGGGTCGCCCGACTAGCAGTGTAGGATCAAGGGTATTTTTGTTGGAGAGGGGGGGGGGGTTCCGGACCCTCCAGGATTGTATAAGGTTTCTGTCGGGTTTTGTCGGGTCATTTACCAATGTGATTTCTTATGAGGTTCACGGTTCAAATCATATAAGGGTAGGAATATACCTACACGCTGAAGCTGCCTAACTCAGCGTGTAGTTCCAGGCTTCGTTCACACCGACGGAGACGTCTACTGGCCCCTCGGAAGCGACAAACAAATCATAGAGGAAGAGTTTTGGAGGTTTAGGGAAACTTCATAGAGGGTGTGTTTTGGAGGTTTAATGGAGTTTTCGGGCAGGAAGTTTCGTGTCAGGCTTCAGTGGTAATCGGAGTTTACCCTAAGGGTCCTAACGAATTGGGGAACCTCAAGATTGAGGGTTTCTGAGACCCCAAAAGAGACCCAAGGACTCTCCCTAGGCCATTCCGGACCCTCCTAAGGAGATACCTGGACCCTTAGGGTACGAGGTGCAAGCAGTGTCTTGCTTTTGGTTCAGGGAGGGGTCGAAGAGTCCTGAGGTCACATCTGTCGTTCGTTCAGGTTTTGGGGAGCAGTAGGAGTCCCAAAACACACCAAGAGCTCTCCCCTAAACCCCAAACCTAAACCCACGGCTCCAGGTATCTCCTTAGGAGGGTCCGGAATCTCTTAGGGAGAGTTTATGGGTCTCCTTGTCAATTTTGAGGATCCCTAAAGTGTTAGGGCCCTTAGGGAAAACCCCCGAGCCCTAAACCGTCCTCCTTAGGAAGGAGATCCACCGGGCTTCAGGGAAAAGCCCTGCAAATCCTAGGCCCTCACCTTTCCATCTTCCCCAACCCAACCCTCCACGACACTCCTACAAACCCTGTATATACCCTGCAGCTACCCAGATGATAGCCATGATGTCTGATGATTCATCAATCCTATGGCCCATTTAGGTCTGATCCATACAGCTTTAGAACCCATTACTTCTGCGAGAAACCCTAAACGAACAAGCTCAACCCAGACCTTCCGATATCTCTTAGTTAAGGAATATAACTACTGTAGTAGGATCCTCAATATGTGTTAAGGTACACTCCTGAACGAATGGATATTGGAAGGTCTGGGAAAGCACGTAAATCCATCGCTTCCGCCAGTGGCGAGTGGCAGATGAATGTTGCTCACGGACTGGGTGGCTTGGCTGTCTTGCCCTCCAAGTCAAGCGTGGTTCAGGGTTTAGGGTGGTTGAGGGTTTAGGGGAAGCCCATCGTAGATCTTGACTTCATATTGGGATCGGGGGATGAAGGTTAAGCTTCAGGGGATTGCTTTATAAATCAACCCCAACTACCCCTTCTTGTCTCCCCTAAACCCTGAGCCCTAATTACCTGTCAATTCGGAGCATGAAACTTTTGTACAGGGCACATCGAGGTTTAGGGTTTCGAGTTTCGGATTCTGGGTCGAATGCACGCTCCACCCTCTTCGTGTCAAGAGGGTGCATGCGACGGGTGTGGGGTTGAGGAAGGCTGTAAGGCCTCATGGGTTTGGGAAAAAATCCCAGCCAATTGCTCTTGCAATTGTCAGAATTAAGCCAAATTAAATTGCCTTGGCTTAGGATGCTCTTCGATAGCCAATGGGAGAACTTTTAACTTATTGGCCTTATATATTCGGTCCATCTTTTAAAGTTTGGAGTTTTGGGGCCTTGAAACCTTCTGCAAGTTTTAAAGCTCAGCTGGCCAATGGTGAAGAAGCTGAAAAGACACAAAGCCTGCCTCCTTTGAAGTCCAAGCCTTGTCACGGCAATGCGCGCATGGTCATCTCATCGGGATCATGCTGACTATTTTCTTCTTCGCAATGGCCCGCAGCAACGCCTATACAACAGATCTTAGCCATACAACTAGACATCTGCAGTATCCGAAAACAGGGGTTGAGTATGAGCATCTAGGGAGACCCTCTAAACCCCTACTCACCAACCCTAAACCCTAAACACGAAACTCTAAGCACTAAACCCTAAAACCCGAAACTCTAAACCCTAAACCCTAAACCGTAAAACCCGAAACTCTAAACCCTAAACCCTAAACCGTAAAACCCAAACCCTAAACCGTAAGCCTAAACCCGAAACTCTAAACCCGACCGTCAAACCCCCCTTCTCCCAGGGACGTACACTCACCGTTTGAGTGGCAGCAAGGCTGGGCCGGCACCGAGACAAAGGAAACTCGGGTTTTGCAGCGTTTTGGGGCTTAAAGCCCCAAGGGTCCAACGGTTGACGATATAAACCCTACACGACCCATAATAAGGAATATACCATAATTCCCCAGGTTTAGGGTCCTGAAAGTAATGCAGGGTTTATACCATCAACCGAAGTCCCTAATAATCCTATACTCTCAAAAATCCAAACCTACATAACTACTATCCTAAAGCCGAGTACCTAATTATTGGATCCTTTGGACCCTTGGGGTAGGGGTTTAGGGTTCAGGGTTTAGGGTTTTCAGATTCGCGGGTTTCTGTAGGGTCAAAGATATGCGCTGCATTGAGTTCGCAACACACACGGAACATTGCTTGCTTTGTTTCGCTGCGGCCAGCACACGCTGAACCATCAATCCCGGAACGGAACCGCTGAAAATCCGTAGTTCATCAAGCGTGAAACGTCGTAAGTCCAAACACCTAATCCCAGTACCGGAAGAACTTTATTGAATCCCGTACAAACCACGGTCGCGCCCCAATAAAGCTGTATAAGACCTTGTACAAGCCTTTGCAAACCTCGAAAACCCTTCAACGAAGCCCTCATTATAAAACCCTCGCACAATGCCAAACCCTGAACTCTAAACGTGAGCCCTGAGACATTTCAAAGCTTTGAAAAGCCAATGCAGCAGGCAACTTACTGAGGCTAAACCCTAAACCCTAAACCCTAAACCCTAAACCCTAAACCCTAAACCCTAAACCCTAAACCCTAAACCCTAAACCCTAAACCGTAACACCCGAACGCAACCCTAAGCCCGAAGAAACTATGAACTTGAACCACGTAGTCTAAACTACACCCCACACCTTGCGTACTGCCCCCACTCTGCTAGGATATTTTCAATATGGTCTACAAGCCCCAATATGACCCCTAATATAGATATATAGACTGCTACAGGGTGGAGGCAGTACGCAACCTATACCCCTGCAGACAGCCCAGACAAGAGGTCACTTACAGAGGGGAGTGGCTTGAAGATCTCCAGAGCGGATACGGCGTTCGCCCCCCGGAGAGGGGAGTCCTTCACGCTTTATCCGACAGGGTTTTGGTGTGGAGATTAGGCTTGATAGGGGGTTTCTAGGGTCTTGTCGGTTTGATAGAGGAAGAAGGGTTCCGTAAGGCCCATTGGGGTTGCTACAAGGTTTTGCCAGGAGTCTAGAGGGCTTGCAAGGGCCATGCAGGCGTCTTTAAAGCAAGTTCAACATGTGGTGAGTGGTGGTAGGGGTTCATGTTCTGTTTAGTGTTCGGGGTCCTATAGCACCGGGTTCCTGAATCTTCCTGCCAGTTTTCCTTTAAGGGTCCCTTCAGGGTGCAATGTTTAGAGGTCATGTTGGAGCTTGCACGAGTAGCGACTTCCTTACTTCTACAGTCTTGGCATAGGTATGCGAAAATCTAATCTAAACCAAAGCCGATTTAAGAATTTTGAGGCCGCTAGGATAGAACAAGGCATCCTGGAACTTTGAGCCCCTCCGAATTCGGCCTAATTACCACACTACTCGCCGTGCACGGTTTAATAAGTAGCCACACACCAAGAACATCACTCGTCCTCTGATGCCGGATGCCGTTAGATCTCGTGCTCACAGGTGGCCGTTCCTTCTGAACTCCCTAAGGGTCCATGTACTCATATAATATAGTATATACATTGGCCTTAAAGTACTCCCTATATAGGTACATTGGGCCAAAAGTATATACTATTTGGGCACATGGACCCGTAGGGAACTGCATATCTTCGCCCGATTGTTTCACATGGTGATTCATAAAGTTGTAGTGTTTCCATCGGTCCCGCACACCCTGATCCCCAAACCATAAGCCAAACAGTTGTTGGGGAGTCCCGTCAGATGGTTATGAAAATGTGTTTGCAACTGTCGGCTCGAAGCACTAGCCTCTTGACAAGAAACGCACCCATTGAGGAGACCCTGGAAGGAACCCTTAACCTAGTAGTCGAGTAGGTAACCTTTAACCTTGTTGGGTAGTATACGTAGTCCCTATATAGTCCCACAATAACCAAAAAGGTTAACCTTTAGTTCCCCAGGATACCCGACAAGTAGGAATCCTTAAAGAGCAACTCGAGGAGACCCCCAAACCCCATGCTCCCTTCAAGGAGCATGGGGTTTAGGGGTTTAGGGTTCAGGGTATGGGGTTTAGGGTTTTGAAAAGTTTTCAATCAGACCTTCAAGGGAAGCCCTGGCAGCATTCCTTAAAGACCCAAAATCCAAAACCCAAAGCCCTAAAGCCCCGGAAAGAGTTATTAAGGAGCCTCTTAAAGGAAACCACTGAGAGAATCCCTTTTTTAGAAGGATCCTCTCCAGACCCCTGAACCTTAAACCCAAAAGTTTTCAACCCTCAACAATTAGACCTTAAACACCCTAAACCCTAAACCCAGCAGAGCAAGCAACACTATGGACCCTAAACAGTAAAACCCTAAAAACCCCAAAACCCTAAACCCAACAGAGCCCCTCGAGGAACCCCGGAACCCTAAACCTTAAATTCTAAGGCCCTGAACCCAAAACCCTAAACCTAACAGAGCCCTTTAGAGGAACCCTTAAAGGAACCCTTATACATATACATATACAAAGATAGATAGATAGATAGATAGATAGATCCCTTAGAGGAACCCCTAAAGGAACCCTTAAAGCGCCCCCACCCTGAGGTCGAAAGCTGGGACGAAGGTTGTCGATTCGAGGGCGAGTTCAAGGCTAGATCTGTTTCTTTGGGTTTAGGGTTTTAGGGTTTTAGGGGTTTAGGGTTTAGGGTGTAGGGCTTCAGGAGTTTAGGGGTTTAGGGTTTAGGGTTTGAGTCCTTAAGAAGCTGAGTAGTACCCTTAAAGGGTTCGTTAAAGGGTTCCTTAAGGGGGCTCCTTAAAGGGGCTCCATAAGGGCTCTGTACTACTAGGTCCTGAGCTGCTTCTTTGGACTTTGGGCCTCGTTAAGCTGGTTTGTTTATGTTCCATGTGGTGTGTTCTAGTTTGTGTGTTTCCGTGTTGACACGTGTTGACGTCTTGGAGTTTAACGATGGGTGTAGGGTTTAGGGAATTGGGGGTTTAGGGATTAGGGTGCACCCTATGTTTGTCTGTGTGTTTCTATGTTTGTGGGTTGTATGGGTGGGTTACATGATTGTGCTGTTCATGTTTTGGGTGTTCAGTTGCTTGTGTTGCTTTGGTTTTTTTATGTTGTTTTCTTCTGGGCTTTGTTTGTTTCAGTTTCCCGGTGTGTTTCTTTCCTTGGGTGGGTTTGTGACCGGTGCCACAACAAGAGGGAAGACAAGGAGTACCACATAAGAACGTCGCGGCAAAAAGAGTACCACCACAGGCCCCACACCACAGGGGGGGCGGGGGGAAGGGGGGAGGATACCATGGGGTGGAGGGGGAGGGGGGGTGTGGCAGCCCTGCATCATATATAAGGAGTACTTTAAGGCCAATGTATATACCCATATGAGTACATGGACCTGGACCCTTAGGGAAACATCTGGCAATCAGGTGCTTTGGACCCTCAGGCTTAGGGTCTGTTGCAGTTGCAGGTTTTGGTTGTTCAAAGCCGATAGGGTTCCGTTATATATATATATACACACACACTTATATATATATATATATATATATATGATGGGTAAAGCCTTCTGATACAGTCATCCATGCGCTGAAATGCAGGCCGGTCAGAAGAACGGTCAAGGCATCTACTACTGGTCCGATGGCTCGCGGTGAGCCGCAGGGATGGGGTGATCAGTGTTGCGCCAGTGGGCGGATGATTCCGGATAGGAACAGATGAATAATGGAACCTCCTGATTCTTATGAAAGTTCTCTCCTCAACCCGATACCCAGAACACAAGACCCTCAACCCTGTAAAGTTCTCTGTCCTGTATTCCAGGGTCGAGGGTACTAGGGATCCTTCAGGAACTTAAAGGAGCACTGGGGACAATTCGTGAGTACTAGGTTATGTACCCCCACCCTTCCATAAGGATCCCATGAGGCATTGTCTTGTTTTGGCTTTCGGTTCTTGTGTTTATACACTCCTCCTTTGGACCTCCCCTCCTCCCATAAAGATCGCAGATTTTCCGGTATCGGGATGAAGGCGTTGTCCTGTTTTGGGTTTCGGTTTTGGGGTTTCTGGCTGTAGGCTTTAGGGCTCGGCAGCCTGGAGCTCGGAAACCTGTGGCCGCGTATTGAAGGGTTTAGGGTTTCCTCTTAGGGTCCTAACAAATTGGGGAACCTCAAAATGTAGGAGTTCTGAGACCCCAAAGAGGCCCAAGGACTCTCCCTAGGACATTCCGGACCCTCCTGGGTCCTCGACATACAGTAAACCCCATACAGTTGCAAACCGGATTGAGGCCAAATAGTGCTGGGATTCACCATTCCTTACTCGTAAGGATTGAGGCTATGGGGTTTCTAACTTTTGGGCTTCTACTGTAGAGCTATGGAGCAAGAGGGTCCACATACACAACTATTGCGGGGTTAGGTCCCCCCAAAGAAAGAACATGATCAGAACGGTAGTTTGGGGCCTAAGTCCATAATTGCAGTATGTCTGGACCCCCTGGGAAACAAATCCGGGCTCTTGAGTCCACCAGGTACGAAGGCGCATGGCGTCGAAATGCGATTCACGGACCAGGCCAGTCTCCATTTGTAGGACAGCCTCTGCGAGGGTCCTTCGGAGCATTTGACGGTTCTGTAGGGCCCAGGAGGTCACAATACAAGGGTTTAAAGTTAGGGCTTTGGGGTTTTATGGTTCAGGATTTTGGGTTTTAGGGTCGAGGTCATGCGAGTTTTGTCCACCGCTTCACGAGCACAACGAGTCCGCCACATGTGCAGGATTACAAGTTACGATGTGCGACTCTTTACGATTTTAGCCTTTTCGGGGTGTGAGGTGTCCTAATCGCCAAACTTCCTAAAACCCTAAGCCCTAAACCCTCCTATATAAACCTAATCCCTAAACTTCCTAAACCCCAAGCAAAAGAGCTTAAAATGCTGCACGAAAACGCAGACACTCCAGCCATGAGCCTGTAGCCTAGGGTTGAGGCTTCAAAGTTGAAGGTTTAAGGCTTAGGGTTTTGGGGTTTAGGGTTCAGAGTTCAGGGTTTAGATTTTAGGCCTCAGGGTTTAGGATTTTGCGGTTTTGAGGGTTGAGGGTGAGCGTCTTAGGCCTGAGGCTTCAGGGTTCAAGGTTTAGGGCTTAGGGTTTTGGGGTTTAGGGTTAAGAGTTTAGGGTTTAGGTCTCAGGGTTTAGGAGGGTTGAGGGTTCAGAGTTTAAGGTTTAGGGCTTTGGGCTTAGGGTTCAGAGTTCAGGGGGGTCTTGGGGGTTAATGCCGGAAGGGTGCTTGAAGAGGCTACTATGTTGGAGCCGACCAGAGAGAGCGACACGGCTGCAGCTTGAAGCCCAAACTCAAAGATCCTGTTTTGTCAGAATCCAAGGGGGTTTAGGGTTTAGGGTTTAGGGTTAAGGCCATAGACTCGATCCGAAAAGCTTGAAGTCTAATTCCTCAACCCCGGGAGCATTTACCCGGGGAGCCCTGAGACCTCATAACATGTCATCAACCGTATACAACAAGAGCAACTATTTACCCCTAAACCCTAAACCCTACTTGCAAGCAACGCTGCCCTTGAGTTGGGCAGACTACTTCGAGGATCATGGGACGTAGTAAGGAAGGGCTGCAAGTATTTATAACCATTACTCAGTCCCATGATCCTGTATGTAAGTGGTTTGCAGAAAAGCTTGGGCAGTTCGGGTGAACTGAAAGAGTAACTGAACGCAACACCCTAAACCCATACGATCTTAATAAGGCTTCTGGCCCGGAAGTTCTGCGCAGAGCCTGTCCTTGCTAGATTAGGGTTTACCTCTAGCCGAAGCGACCTACCTTGTGGGGTTCCTTGGTACGGTTCTATGTATAGCCCCTTGAAAAGGTAGGTCTTTTGGGCCATAGGTAGGGTTTAGGTTTTGTGCCGACAAGCTCAGGTGTTTCCCGGACACCCTCTGTATCGAGCCAGAGAATCGAAATCCCTTTTGTTAAGCAGCATACATTGAATTCTATAACTGTTGGAGAAGCTTGTTTCCGACATTTGGGGGACTGTCGGAAATGTTGGGGCGTGCAGAAGAGGTTTCGAATTCTGTGGCCATGAAGCTGTTTTTGCGAAGGGCATGGTGCGTGACTGGTGCAGTCAGGGTTCTGGGTATGGGGTGCGCCGCTCTTTCAGGAGGCTTCGGTTCGAGATTCGGCGGGACTTGGAGTCCAGACTAGTGGTACGTAATTCAGGGCCGACAGAATTACCAATACTATTTGCTTTTTGTTGGGGGTTTTATACTATAGTAATAGTATAATGGGGCCCAAAACTTTTTTTGATTATTAAGGCTTCTGTATTAAGGATCTGGAGCACCCTGGCTGAGGTTCCATGGACTTTGGCAGAATTCGGCCATCCATGGTTGCGGTGCCTACAGCTGGCCAGATGGGCGGAAGTACGAGGGGGAGAAGCTCGGCAGAGACATCTGAAGCCTTCAACCCCTGAACACTCTTAATTCTATGCCGCGAATACCTACAGTAGAAGCCAGAAAGTTGGAACATGGCCTTAGGAGGATCAGTGCTAGGATTCCTTACACTTTACCCTAAGGGCATCAGGATAGTCATGTTCCAACTTTCTGGCTTCTACTATAAACCCTCTGTTCAAAGCCATACTGATTGGCTGCAAACTCAACTTTTCAACTTCTGGGGTTCTTATAAGGTAGTCGATTCTGAAAGTTTCAACTTTTGTTTCCTTGGGTTTTACCTTGCTCGCCAACACCCTGAGCCTGATTAAGCTCAGATATCCCCACTCTTGGTGTTCTTTTTTGAGGGGCCTAGAAGGGACATAAATAGAGCGTTGTAAATTCTTATAGCGGTTTGGAAGAGGATTTTTTGGGTTTTAGAGGCAAGAGTTCTACAAGGTTTCAATTGCCAGGCACAAAGTAAAGTGAGTCCCCTCGAAAGAGTACGAAGCTCCAGCACGCATTAGGCCCAGACGACCTTCCAATATCCTATAATTAAGGAACTTTCTATACTATACATTAACTTTCCTTAAGTCAAATATACCACCCTAAGGGTCCAGATATCTCCTCAGGAGGGTCCGGAATCTCCTAGGGAGAGCCCTCGTCTTAGCTTCCCCAATTTGTTAGGACCCTTAGGGTAGGATCCTAGATTTAAAGCCTGGACCCTTAACCCTAAACCCCTATACCCCAACAAAACCCTACACACAACAAACCGTAAACCTGTAGAGCCCTAACCCCCTACACCCTTCAAACGCCCCATACTCTAAATCGTAAACCCCTAAACTCCTAAACCCCCTTGACCCTAAACCTTAAACAGAACCAACCATAAACCGTAAACCCTAAACCCATAAAGCCTTAAACTCTTATGCCTTTACCCTAAACCTCTTGAAAACCCTACACTCTAATCCCAAAACCCTTCAAACCCCCCTGTACCCTTAAATTAAGACCCCTAAACCCTAAACCCCTAAACCCTAAAGAGAGCCAAACTTTAAACAACACAAACCCCGAAACCCTAAAGCGACCCGTAACCCTAAACCCTAAGCCTAAACCCTAAACCCAAAAGGTACGAGTGCGACCGGAAGTCCGGCTTCGGAATCTTCTCTTGGCCTGACAACCGGAGGCCTTCTGACATCCTTGGGAATTCCAAAAAAGTGGGGTTGTAAGTACCCTAAAAGGGACCCTAATTGGGGATATGGTACTTATAACTCTATAAAATAACTATGAGATTCCGAAAAATTTTAAGAAGGTTATATGTCTTCAGGGCTTTAGGGGTCTAGGGGATTAGGGGATTAGGGTTTCAGGGGTTAAGGTGTTTAGGACTAGGATTTAAGGTCTAGGGTTTAGGATTAGGGTTTAAGGTTTAGGGTTTACTCTAAGGGTCCTAACACTTCAGGGAACCTCAAAATGTAGGATTTCCGAGACCCCAAAGAGAGCCAAGGATTCTCCCTAGGACATTCCGGACCCTCCTAAGGAGGTACCTGGACCCTTAGGGTAGGGATCTAAGAGTTTAAGGATTTAGAGCCTGGGGTCGCATTTATAGTGTCGTCGGGGTCTAAGGGTCTAGTGTTATCGCTTGGGGTTTATGGGAGTTTGCGGAAATAGGGGACCCTAATATAGTAGTACCCTGAAAAGTAGGATCCTAAATTATGAGTAGCCCCAAATAAGGTACCCCTGATTTTCGGAAACTCCCATGTGGTTTCTAGGGCTCAGAGTCTATGCAGCCTCATTTTCTTTGGAGGGGCGGTGCTAAATGTTAATGGTCACCGGTTCAGTTGCGGGGACGCTTTTCAAGGGACAGTGTCAACCCTCAGGGTCTTAACCAATTGGGGAACCTCAAAATTGAGGGTTTCTGAGACGCCAAAGAGACCCAAGGACTCTCCCTAAAAGATTCCGGACCCTCCTAAGGAGATACCTGGACCCTTAGGGAAGGTGTGAGCGTCGCGCAGCGGTGAACGATGCAGGGCTTAGGGTATTTAGGCTGGAGCTGGGCATTCATTTTAGGGTTCAGGGGTTTAGGGTTTAGAGCGGTCCAGGGTTTGAGGGCCTTAAGACCAAGCTCAGTACCTTATGGAAGAGAGCGGTGGGCCCTTTAATTGGAAGCGTATGTTCTGCGATCGGTATAGAGTTTACCTTAAATCTGGAAGCTTTCCAGGTGCAGATGAAGCTGATCGAAGAGCAGCACAACAAGCAGTACTCGGACACTGAGAGAAAGCACATGTTAGCGCCGATACCGGGCCGGGATAGCGAAGACTCCACGTTTGCAGAGGGCACCCCAGCAAGCAATGTCCGTGCACTTTGCCTCGGAAACCCATCCGCGACCGAAGTGCACGACTTCCCAGGCCCTACAGTAGAAGCCAGAAAGTTGGAATATCATTATCGTAACCCCTTTAAGGTAAATTATAGGGGATCCTACCATTAATCCATATTCCAACTTTCTGGAGTTCCCTTTAAACCCTAAACCCTAGGGCCAATGTTTGCGAATATCTAAGCTCGGAGACTTTTGGTTAGGGGTCGTGCAAAAAGGAAACATGTCCTGCAACAGCGTCTGGATGAGGAACGCTCCATGCTATCCGTACTTAGACTAGCTGGGGAGTTAACAAATAGGCTTCGGGCAGAGCTACAAGTAGCTTAAAGTTCGTCTCCTGCTTGTCATTGCTTAGAGCCTACTTGCTGCATGCCATGATCCTCCAAGCAGGTATGAGATACGGCTCATGATAGAAATCCTGCATTACCTTAAGGACCCTAAGGACCCTAAACTACGGGAATTATGGTTTATTCCTTATCCTGGGTAATGCAGGATTTTGTCATCAACCGTAGTCATGCATCGAGACCCGACGATCGTCATACTTGCACGAAGCTGCGTCCACAGAGTTGGTACTGGGTATGTTGGCACTCATTCGACCGCAGACCATAGGCCTTTTCTCGTCTTACCAAGCAAGCCCCAAAGTTCACCAACCATAAGCAGCCCTCCCGAGATTGAGGGATAGTGAAGTCCCCTTACCTTTCGCGCAGGTATGAAGGCTTCTGGGTGGACGGCAAACAGCACGGCGAAGGAAGATACTACCACACGGACCGGCCGAACAGTGGTAATTGAAAGTCACGAGTGTTGCAGGGAGTTAGGCGTTACTGTGTAGGTCTATATGGAAGCCTTACGAAGGAATGCCTTCTTATCAATACCCGCCCTTGCATGGTAATTAGGCAGAGTATCCCGTAGAACGGCCGCCTCCCATGAAGCGATAGCGATGGACCCCCCCTTGATGCATATCTCCTGAGAAGAGTCTTTGGCCTCCGCAGTCCACAAGAATCACTTCTACACGAAAGAGGAATACTAGGTATCGATCTGGGATATTTGTTTTTCCTTCTGTGGCCAGGGCTTAGCAACTTTGAGTGTAGGCTTAGGTTTTGCAGCAGAGCGTAAAAGGTCGAGACCCGCTTGTTTTTGAGATTTGGGGGCTGAGCGGCTGAGCCATTGAGGGGGACCCTGAAATCCATCTTCCGTTTTGATCGCGGAGGCGATACTAGACGACCCTTCACCAATAGAAAGATCCCAAGCATTTCGAGCATCCTCTACACTGTTCGCCTTCTCATTCCAGGATAGCTGTTTGTTCCAACGCATGGATGCCTTAGTTGTTAATTCCTGCACCTATTTAGGGTCTAGCTAGCCTCCCGTTTTCCCAAGCTCGCAGATACTAGAGGGGCCTAAATAATTACCACTGATATTGTGGGTGTTCCTTATTATACCAATAGTATCATGGGCCACAACAGCCTATCCTAATTATTATGGCCCCTATATTATAGAACTCTACTATAGATCCCTTTTGAAGAAACCGCACACCCCCAAAACCCTGTTCCTAATTATTATGGCCCCTTTATAAACTTGATGATGCTGGGGGGGAGGGAGCTCCAGAGAAGGATAATGCTGGGGGGGAGGGAGCTCGAGAGAGGATGGCACTTCTTGAGGAATCAACTACCGCGCACCTTTCACTTAAGGTTTCACTGCCCCAAGGGTCCAGGTATCTCCTTAGGAGGGTCCGGAATCTGCTAGGGAGAGTCCTTGGGTCTCCTTGGGGTCTCAAAAACCCTCAATTTTGAGGTTCCCCAATGTGTTAGGACCCTTAGGGTGGGCTGTGGCGTACCATGCTTTAATACTTTTATTGGGGAACCTGTTGCGCAAAGGGAACCATTATGAAATACAAGTCTATACCTTTTTTCTCCCTGGCGACTTCAAAGCCCAGTTCACTTGGGGTTTCAGGAAGCTTGGCAAGTAGGGTTTGAGGTATCTCCATTGGGACTACAAGTAGACAGTACACATAGCTACACAACTACATGTTTGACTGACTGGCTTGTTGACCTACTAAATTTTTACGATCCTCCAAGCAGGAGGTTGGAGAATGGAGCAAGCTCTTTTTGCATCATCGGTTGCACAGGGCAAGACGTAGTCAACTCCAAACACCAAGCCTTAGTAGTAGGGTGGGTAACCTTTAGCCACTTGCACTATCACCTCTACACAACTCTAATATACTTCCAAAGGTTACACTCTTAACCCTAAACTCGGCTCTAAACCCCGAAACCCTGAAGCCTAGACCCTGAGCCCTAAGGTTAACCTTTGGTTCCCCTGGCAACTGGACAAGTAGGAAACCCGACAAGTTTGGAGCTTTTCCCGCAAAAGGACGGCTATTCGCTCCTGGCGCTTTGGGAACATGGTCGCCGTGTGGTCGTGGCCTGAGTGTCTTGTGTTTGGTTCTTTTTTGGCTTCAGAAAAATGGAGGCGCCGTTCAGGGCCAGCTAGGGGGTTGGGTTTAGTTATTGGGTTCCATAAAATAAGGATCCTGTTGGACTAAATTAGGGTACCCGACTTTCTGGTATTCGCAAATGCAACAAGGAAAATGCAGCACGCCAGTAGAACGAAAATTCAAAAGGTGCAGTGCACCTTCAAGGTATCACTTAGGCACTTCGGTTTCAAAGGGTAACCGCGAGTGGCCGATCGCATTCTGAACGCCAGACCTCGCCAAGTTAAAATTGGGGTGTTACCATCGGAGGCCGCAACAGGTGGGATGAAGGTAGGTAGGATCAAGGGTCCCTTATATAAGGACTCTTATTTGGGAATATCCCACCTACCTTAATCCCACTTTTTGAGGCCTCCGATACCATGGCCCTGCAACCTGCGCACCTTTAGAAGCCTGAGCTGTTGCACTATGCTCCCGCGGCTTGAAAAACTCCACGAACAACAGTGCTGACTGCCAGGTGTTTGGTTTAGCGTGTAGCGTTTACTCTAAGGGTCCTAACAAATTGGGGAGGACCCTCAAAATTGAGGTTTTTTGAGACCCTAAAGGGACCCAAGCACTCTTTCTAGGACATTCCGGACCCTCCTAAGGAGATATCTGGACCCTTTAGGTGATCCCCAAACCGCGAGTTTCCGAGGAGTGGCTGGAAGATACTCCCATGCCGCCCGAAATCCTGCCAAAGTCGCAGACGGAGGAACCTGTTTACCTTAATTTACTCAACGTTACTTTCTTGTGGGGTCTCTATAAGTTTTATATTAGGGTTGGCAATAAGGACGTACAAAAATGTAGGTTATGGTAAGGGCTATAGGTACCTGTATACATGTTTACATGTGTGTGTATATAATATGCATATATATATGCATATATACATATGTACAGCATATATGTTTATGTCATGTACTATTTCTGGCACGCCCCACCGACCTCTAGGCCAATTTGTTCGGTGTACCTTATGTAAGGCTTTAGGCAACAAAATAGAGAGAGAGAGAGAGAGCGGACATAAGATAAGAAGTCAAACCACAGGATATATACACATAATATAAGGGTATACAGTATGATGCGACGACATTGTGATTCACACAAAACAACGTATTTCACCGAAGGGGCAACCCAAACGGATGCGATCACGCAGCACGAAAAAAGGTTTCTGGTTTTGAGGGGGTGTCTATAGTTAAGTCTTCTAAGTTGTCAGGTTCGGGTTGGCGGCAGGCTCTTATTGCTTCACCAACATTGCTAAGGAGCTCTATACACAGTCCCCAACAACCTGACACAAACTCCGAAGCTTAAACATGGATCCGTCATGTCCGAACGGCAGCAAACCCTCCGCGAAGTCTTCTCAGAGCCTTCTTTGTTGTAGACGTGGCAAGCCCTTTGAGCCGTGGGGGTTGTTAGTGGCTAAGAGTGAGATCCCAAAACCCTTTGCAGCTCCCTTAGGGTCTACCGGAACCGTAAGAGAAACCCACTGTTTTTAGGGCTCCTTATTATGAGTTGCTTATATGAGTCCTGAAAGAGGTAGGTTATTTGGGGTTGAGGCAGGGTTTAGGGTTGAGGGCCGTGGGTTCGAGGCTCACAGGAGCTGAATTTGATTCTAACACAGGCGATTTGAGTAGTTTGGGATTTAGGGTCGAAGCATAAAGAATATACAGTGTTGTGCATCCTTATTGCGTTTATGTTACATGATGTACCCCGAGAGCCGTGCTCTAGTTAGTAAGGCCCCGATATTAAGCAGAAGCAAGCCTAATGCTCGCGAAGGAGCATGGCAGCCAGCAGTGAGAAAGGCTCGAAGGCTAGAAATTTAGGGTTTAGTGAACCCTAAACCCCTAAACCCTATAAGAGGTTCTATAGGCCTCGAAATCTTGCTTCCCTAAACCCTAGACCCTACTACATGCGCTTCAAAGCGTTGTTTAGGGTGCCAAGCTATAAACAAACAGCCCGCTTCAGCCATTTGGAGTGACCATTGGAGTGTAGGTTGAGGGTTTAGGGCATTGCAGTTCAGGGGTTGTGATGCTTTTTTGTTCCGGGGGGGGGGGGGGGTCCGGGGTCTTCGAAAGTAAGCTGGCGTGTAGCATAGTTAGAACATAGGGAGTCGTGAGAATACCTGCTTTATATTCCACCCCGGGTATATATATATATATACACATTGTGCATACATGCATGCATACATACATGAAAGGAGAGCCATCATCCTACGTTCATGTTCCATCTTGTTGACTCCTACTCTGCACAGGACTCGGGTTCAGGCTTAGGTGGGGTTAATGTTTGGTTTCCTTCACGACTATCAAAACAGGGGTCCTAGATGAAGGTTGCTCACGATTGTATGAAAGTCAACGATGAACGCGTTAGTAGCAACAATGTCCGAAAGTGCAGCTGCAACAGTCGGAGCATTAGCGCAGGGCCTCCGCCCCCGATTCGAAACTCCCCTTCTTTCAGGGTCTGAGAGTAGGATCCCACGTTTGCCCCTTCTCAGCACCCTTCATGCCCTAAATCCTACACTCTTCGGGGTACTTAGAAATCATTTTTATTTTTTGTTTATTATAATCCCTAAGAAACAGCTAGAATTACAATTTTTGCTAGGGTTCTAAGTTCAGTATAGCCCTAAACCCTAAACCCTACATGCCCTAGATCCTATACTTCTTGAGCCCTGAAAGCCAAGCCCTTTAACCCTGAGACGACTTTGAAGGTTGGAAAGTAGCATGCCCAGTAGTGCCCTTATTCCCTTTTTGTAGTCCTAGGTTCCTTTTAGAGTGACCTAATACCAACAATAGGAGGGTATGCGGGCTAAATAGTAAAAAAAGCATCTGAGTGATACTGCTGATGGACAAAATCCTGCATTACCCACAATAAGGAATATACCATAGTTCCCATAGTTTAGAGTCCTTAGGGTCATGCAGGATTTATACCATCAACCGCTTGGACCCTATTATAAATATAGTATACTGGGCCCCCAAAGCCTAGTTATTCTGAGTAATAATGGAGATTAGTTTGCTCAAAAGTCCGCCTGAATGGTGAAACCTTCAGCCGCGGAGACGTCCTCTTGTCAGAAGCCACATGTGCGAGCATTTGGGGTTTAGGGCTTCTAGGGTTTCAGGGGGTTGAGGTTGAGGGTGTAGTGTTGGGTTTAAGGTTCAATGACGTTCAGTGTTGAGCTACAAGTTGGCTACAAGGTTGAAGGTTCAGGGTTTAGGGTCGAGGGGAGGTATACCACGCTTGGTTCTGCTTTGCGCAGTGTTTAGTGCCCAAGACGAAAACACAGCTTGAATCGCGGAGGATTCTACCTCTGAAGGGTGGTGGGGATCCGGTTCAGGGGTTTAGGGTTTTTGGTTTAGGGGTTTAGGGCTTAGGGTTTAGGGGTTTAGGGTTTATAGGGTTTACCTTCAACCCAAATAACCTACCTTCTTTAAGGACCTGTATGTGGAAATCATATTGGGCAACCCTCCAAAGGTAGGTTATATGGGGTCCAGGTAGGGCTTAGGGGATCTCTCACATGTGGCGGGTCTCACCTGCAAACGCTTTATCCGCATCGCTCGGATGCGAGCTATAGCTTCAGTTAAGGAAAGTCAGTCGGATTCCCGCCAACGAAGCATGCAGCTTTGCATCCGCAGTATTACGACACACAGACTAGGCTTAGATGTTCGGGTGAGCCTGCTTGAGGTTTGCTTGGAGGGGCTACCTAAACTCAAAGGGGAAAGAGAGGGCCCCTTAATGGGGACCCCTACCCTATAATGGGCTATATCATGGGTATATACTGGCTATATTAAGGGTATATACCTAGGGGTCCTTATTAAGGGTCCCTCCTTTACCCTTGGATAAACAGCTACCATTCTTAGCTCTCTGTCTTCTGCACACGATTTGACATCCGACCTCCCTTTGCAGCCTATAGGCCTAGCACTTACAAGCTTCAAACCCTAGCAGCCTTCAGCTTCAGAAGCCGGGTTTAGGGTTTAGGGTTTAGGGGCATCTCCGACACAGTGCCCTATTATAGGGGCCGAAATAATAGCCAATACTATTTTGGTGAAGAGTTTTGGACTCCAGAATTGCATAAGCAAAAACACTTTACTGGGATATCCCTACCTTATTGGGCTTTAAGGGGAGTTGTGTGGGATATCACTGTCCTGATTTTGCTTACTTGGTGCCCCTATCTGTACACCATCCTAAAACTCCTAAAACCTAAAATCGGAGGGGCTTAAAGCTTGGGTTTTGGGTTGGGGTTTAGGGCCCGTACAGGTTTTATGATAGACGCATTTAAGGAAGGTTCGACAAAGGGACAGTTTCCACTTGGGGTTAAAGGATTTTGGATAGGGCTCCGGTTCAGTGCTCAGGGTTCGGGGTTCCCTAAACTACGGTTGATGATAGAAATCCTGCATTACCTTGAGGACCCTAAACTATGGGAATTATGGCATATTCCTTATTATGGGTAATGCAGGATTTATATCATCAAAACTAGGACCGAGAGTAGGCCCTTATTCCCTTTTTTAGCATTTATGTTCTCTTATAACCTCCTCACCCAAAAAGGCATCCTCTTGATTCCTAGGTTACTCTTGGATCAAGTAAACAACCCATGGGGAGCCTGTAAGGGAGCCTTTAAAGGATCTTATAAGGGTTCCTTTAAGGGTGCCTTTACGGTATCTAAAACAAACCTTAACAACTCCCAGCCCTAAGTCTCTGAAGGCCTCGAGTTCCTTAACTGAAGCAGCTGTCGTGATCAGTTCAGCCAGGTGCATTCAGTGCTCTCTTCGCGATCCCAGAAAAGTAAAGATGAGGACCACCATGCGACCTCACTGGACTAGGTTGCTCAGTGGTATAATTTGTAATTTGTTTTTGGTGAGTTCTTATTAGAGTGTAAACTAACCCAACAAAGTATCTAATTTTCCTAGTGGGTTGCTCAAAAGCTTGGCTTCTACGACTGCGCTTGTAGAGTATACGGCTGTTTTCTGCATCCCAAAAGAGCACTAAGCTGTTGATGCGTGCCATCTCTGCGCGTTGCGCCAGTTGCAGAAAGACGACTTCAGAAGGCTTCTGTGTCTTGGCGACTAAAATAGGGTCCTGAATGACTGCCTATACCATTCTGGGGTGCCTTTTTATTATCATAGTATACTGGGCCACAAAAACCTAATTATTCTAGTCATTAAAGCCCCTATATCACAGGGCTTGAGGTATCCAGAAAACCCCAAGGGTGCAAGTGCCGAATAATCTTATACTCTCCCAAATAGTAACCCACAAAACTATTATCCGTAACCCCCAAGTACCAAATTATTGGGTCCTTCTGTTGATGATATAAATCCTGCATGACCCATAATAAGGAATATACCATAATTCCCATAGTTTAGGGTTCTTAAGGTTATGCAGGATTTCTATCATCAACCGTTTGGACCCTTAGGGAAGAGTCCTTTGGACCCTTTAAGGCACCCCAATAGAAACCCTAAAAGGAACCCTTCAAGGAACCCTTTAAAGGAACCTGCACAACTCCGGAGATCATCTCGAGAACTCGTTTTCTTCCTGCAGCAAGGTATCGACGGGCTCACCACTTGAATATACAAGCCTGAACCCTAAGGGTCCAAAGGACCCAATAATTAGGTACTTGGGTTTGGGATAGTAGTTATGTAGGTTAGTTTTTTTGGAGAGTATATATAGTAATTAGGTACTTGGACCCTGAGGGAAATATGTAGAAACGCAGCAACACTACTCATTCATTAGGATTACTAGTTCAATTGTACCATGATATGTCCCAAAATCCAAAACCCTATCCTGATCTTTCCGGCCACATATCAGCGGATTCCGGACACGATCAGGGAGATACCTAGAAACAGAGCCCTTGCCCTTGCCCCCCTTGAAGAACCCGAGGGCCCGAAAAAAGCCCAGGCGGAACCTCCCAACCTTCGTCATAGGGATCCTTAAAGGTGTAGGGGGAGGGGTAGGGGGCCTTAAGGCCCATAATAAGGACTAATAAGGCCTACTTAAGGAAATATTGTCCCCTACACCCCTCCCCCCTACACCCCTAAGGATCCCTATGATGATTCTGACCCTAAACCCTAAACCCTAAACCCAACCCTAAACCCAACCCTAAACCCTAAACCCTAAGCCCTAAACCCTTCCCAACCTTCGGAGCTGCATCTCGTCAGACGTTTCGTGGCTCGTTCAGCTCGGGTGCGGTGCCGCCTGCAAATTCTGGCAGGCGCCAGCCCTAAGGGTCCTATACTACTAAGGGTTTAGGGTTTAGGGTTTAGGCCCCCAGAGACTCCAATATCCCTTAATTAAGGATTCCTTAAATTATATTAGGGATCCTATTATAATTTAAGGAATATTTCTGGCAGGCGCCAGACACCCAGAGGTTTGGGAGGATCTAGGAAGTAGATCCCTAATTTCGGGCTCTATACTACTCAGGGTACTTTATAGGAACCCCCATTAAGATTAAGGGATCTCCTTTTGGGATCCTCTCGGGGGTCTGGGCAGGCGCCAGCCCTAAGGGTCCTAACACTTTAGGAAACCTCAAAATGTATGATTTCTGAGACCCCAAAGCGACCCAAGGGCTCTCCTTGGGAGATTCCGGACCCTGCCACGGAGATACTCGGACCCTTAGGGAGACAGGGGAAGTTTTTACCTTGGGAGCGCTGTGGGAGCCTTTACCTGGGTTATTGATGTTGAGGACCTTCAGGGTTTTACGGGTTGGGGTTTGGGGCTTTTGGGGCTTTTAGGGTTTATGGCTTTTGGGGCTTAGGCCTTTTGGGGCTTTTGGGGTTTAGGGTTTAGGGTTGGAAGGTTGGAATGTTGTGTTC